AAACGAGTTTTAAACACTAAATCATTCTGAAAAAGCCGCATTTCAATAATCATATCTTAAACTTCAATCTCTTACTACAATCCTCATCTCTCAACAAAAAAATTTCTCACTAAAATTAATTTATAACAAAACACTTNTGGCAAAAATTCAAACTTACATTCGTTTCCATTGATATCTCTCTCGATTTCCCACGTCCTGTGGCAATAGGATGCGGAGGATTCTTCTTCGAATTGAAGCTCCTGAGATATCGGTTCCTCCACCATTTCATCTCGGCATTTCGCCCTTCTAAACGAGTTTTAAAACCAGATCATTTTGAAAAAGCCGCATTTTAATAATCAATCTTAAACTTCAATCCCTTACTACAATCCTCATTTATCAACAAAAAAATTTCTCACTAAAAGAAAGACAGAATACTTGTAATGCACGAAACATCACAAATTCCCGCTCCACCTAGTGCTACATATCAAAAATATCCAACTGGTCAACGGGAGTGCTCATCCCTAAAAAATGAAAAATCTGCCAAATATTCGCAAGCATAAAAACACATGATGGAAGTATTAGTTACTGTTAGGAAAAAGACGCCAAATTTTGCATTATAGTCCATTAAAAATTAGCTACAGTGCCACTTACTATATCTGCCAGTCATTAAATATGGTACGCTTTTTTTTCTAATTTTTATCCGCATTCCAAGCAGGGATTCAACAATTCCACAAATCAGTTTAACAGAAAGGAAAACTGAGGAGGACATGAGCATGTAGAATGATCCGTTTCCAATATTGTCAGCAAAAAAAAATGTCTGCTACGCCCGACAAGATCTGCAATCACTCCACTGTCGATGTTCAGTAATATCTGACATTTCTCGACCTGATACTCTCTACATCATACACTATACCTTATTATAGTGTCCGTAAAAGAATTTCTTTTATTCTTTTCCTTCATTTAGCACAAATATGCCGTCAGCGCAAGGGAGCTTTAAATTTTGCTGAAGTGGTAGTTGGGTAGAAGAGATTTTGGTAGCACTTTGTGGATTTCGTAATTTACGTGATATTTCGAGAAAAACTAGTTTTTACGCAAAACGTGTACAAAATATCGTGCATTCTGGTTATTATAATTTTTTAGCACTTTAAGCGAACACACAACTGCAATGGACAAATCATCA